CGTGATCATATTTTCTCAGTGAGGGGATTTCAAGGCAGTGGAGACAGTAAAATGTTGGGACTGAGAGTGACATCATCAAGACACAAGCGTTCAAAGAGGTGACTGTTCAAAAATCTTTTGTTGGTTTGCGATCACTATTGTTGTACTATGATGTTAAGATTTTCTCTAACTGGAAGGAGTTCTGGGATGGAATTACTTAAGAAAACTTGGAACGTTGAGCATTTACAGAAGCAGAAAACCTGAAGAGGCGTATGCATGCCTATTCTCCTTTATTAATTTGGCTTCATGTCCCTAGTTTTGGTCGGTCATTAAATGCTTTTGTGGTCCAGATGGAGTAAGAAGGGGGAGTTTTTTGAAATCATGGAACTGCTTGATATTGGGCTTCTGGCATCAAATGTTTCTTTTCTTTGCTTAAGATTTGTTGATTATTTTTTTTTCTTCATCTTTTCAATCTCTCAGTTTTCTTATTTTTGATAACTTTTGTAATTAATAAGTCATAGGTGAGCTATTTGAAGTAATTGAAAACCGTTTTCAGAAAATGATAGCTAAGCGAATCACTGGTACAGGGTGAGGAAGACACCATTGGTCTTCCTGCTTGTAAAAATATGTGAGAAAAGTTAATCTCATTCCTTGAGTTCTCCAAAATACTCATGAGAGGCTACCAATTGCAATGACAGTCTTCAAATCCTGCCTTTTGCAAATCTTATCTATTGATTTTTGGCGCTTGATTTTGTCACATAGCAGCTTTCCTGATAAGAAAAGAGATGAGGAAGATAGCTTGGGTAGTTCTCTTGGAGCATCAAATCGAAAAAAGCTGGTAATTCATTCCCTTTAGCCTTTTAACTCTAAAAGTAATTTGCAAGCTACCATTTTTCTATAGTTGATTAAAGAGCTTAAAGAATAATGATTTGATTATCTTATTGTTTCTTTGACTAATGACTGTTTTTCTCCTGCATCCAATGTAATGGCCTAGTACAATGCCAGCTACATATAACTTATTTCAAGGATCTCTTTTATCCTTCCCTTTTCCACGCTTCTTTCTCTTTCTTTTTTCATTTACCTCCTCGTTGCTACAAAGTGGGAATAATGTAATCGAATTATTGATACAAACCACTCCTGTAGCCCAAAGTCTAGATGGAGATGTATAAAAAAAATTATATTATTTCATTTATGCTTGAAAAACTGGGATATAAGGCTTTGTCTAAAGGAGTTAATATCTCTTGCTAGACTAATCATTTGAGATCAATAAAAGAATACTCATCCTAAATTCATCTGCTCCTAGAGAATATTTTTCCATTGGCCAAGGGTCTGATTTATATATCTGCTACCAGGATATGGGGCACTTAAAGGACTCTGCCAAAACCCAGAACAAGCAATCTCCTACTCCCAGCACTGAGGTCCAAGACTCTTTGAAGCAAGAGGTGTGGAACTGAACTTGTTTTAGCATTGTGCTCATCTTTGGATATCACAGGGCTTGAATTCAGATTGGGAGTGACCCAGTCAGGTCTTACATAACCCAAGATTAGGCCACAGCTCACAAGTTATTCTATTGCTCATATGATGGTTTTTTTCTTTCCAAAAATCTTTTGTGCAGATTTTACAGCTTGAGAAAAGATTAGAAGATCAATTTGAGGTTCGTCGTGCACTGGAAACAGCATTGGGTTATAGAACTTCCTCCCATGATGATACAAATGAAACGTCAGTGTCAATATCTAAGGTACGTTCTCTAAATTCTTATTTCTCTGGGAAATAGGTGTTCATTGTTTTTGTTCTTCTTCTTCTCCTTGATTTTTTATTAATGATATCGCTCCCTGTAAATTGCAATTGTGTTTTGGCACTGCTACTTCTAGTCTCAGTAGACAATTGAATTCTCACATATGCCCATGTTTACCTTAGAACTAAGTTTCTTCGTCTACATTTAGGCCTTTCATGATGGTCTGCCTCTTGACACTGCTTTTCTGCAGCCAGCAACGGAATTAATCAAGGAAATTGCGGTGTTAGAGTTGGAAGTTGTATATTTGGAGCAATACCTTCTCTCGCTGTATCGGAAAGCCTTTGATCAACAAATTGCTTCTATATCACCATCTAAAAGGGATGAAAGGTTAAAATCACCAGTAGATACCCCAAGAGGAAGATTTCCAGAAGTTTCCAGACCTGATGGTCTTTCAAAAGTTGAAAATTCAGCTGTAAAGTCAGCTTATGGTGACAAATTATGGAAGGAGCCTAGTGGCATTGGAGCAGAAAAACTATTAGATTCTGGTGTTCATCGCTGTCATTCCTCACTATCTCAGCGTTCAGCATTTTCAAGTAGGACTTCTCCTCCAGATGAGACTTTGGATAAAGCTGTACGAGCCTGCCATTCACAACCTTTGTCCATGGTGGAGGTAACTTATTTTTAGCTGGAATCTTCTGAGTTTCTTTGTGTTTTACATTGTTTATTAGTTGCTGGTGATAAGATCATAGTAAAGCATTACGTTGTTTATTATTTCTGGGAAGGGGATCAATGATCAGAAATGACTCCATGCTTGAGATAATTTAGTTCAAATCAATCATCATCAATTTGATTGCATCCACAACAGAACAAATTAAATTTATGAGAGAATTATCTCTTCGGATGATAGTTCTGGTAATTTGAGGATCTTTTGTGGAAAATAACTTTTGCTTGGTTCTGTACAGTATGCTCAGAATGCATCCAATATAATCAGCCTGGCTGAGCATCTTGGCACTCGCATTTCTGATCATGTTCCAGAGACACCAAACAAGCTTTCTGAAGATATGATCAAGTGCATGTCTGCTATATATTGCAAGCTTGCAGACCCACCTTTGATCCAAAACGGCTTTTCATCCCCCAATTCATCCATGTCATCAGCAAGTGCTTTTTCCCCACAGGATCAGCACGACGTGTGGAGTCCAGGATTCAGAAATAATTCATCTTTTGATGTACGGTTAGATAACCCTTTCCATGTGGAAGGACTTAAAGAGTTTAGTGGACCATATAGCACAATGGTTGAAGTCCCATGGATTTTCAGAGATAGTCAGAAATTGGGTGATGTGGAACACTTGCTACAAAATTTCAGGTGAGTCTTCCTGACATGTAATTATCACAAGAAAAACCCATTTCTGATGATGCTAGGATCATCTAGCAACATTAGATGATGTGCTCATCTTGCAGCTTTTCAATGTGTTTATCATATAATTCTATTATAGGTCACTTATCTGTCGACTGGAAGAAGTTGATCCCAGGAAGTTGAAACATGAAGAGAAGCTGGCATTCTGGATAAATATACACAATGCACTAGTGATGCATGTAAGTTTTCTCTTCCATGAAAAGAATCTGCTTTGTAGTGTCAGCTCCATTTTTTAATGTGATAGATTATAATCAGTCTTTCTTTTATAATAGGCATTTTTGGCTTATGGTGTTCCACAAAATAATATGAAGAGATTCTTACTACTGTTGAGGGTAAGAATGACCTGTCTCATTGTTGCGTTTCTTCAAGGATGAAACAAGATTAGTATGTGTTATCTCATACTCTTGTACTATCCAGGCAGCATATAACATTGGCGGTCACACCATCAGTGCAGATACAATACAGGGTTCCATCCTTGGATGTCGAATGTCTCGTCCTGGACAGGTGGATCTCAGGCCTTATCTTTCCTGTCCTTGATTTTGATTCCTTACCTACTTAAAATTTTGTTAAGATCTTGCAGAGACAGGACTCCAGTCCAAAATCACTATTCTTCATGAGAAGCTTGTCTATGTATGATATACATGAACAATATTTCCGCTTTTCCTTTTCTTCATTAAAAAAAACATAAGATAGGACAGAAAAAGCAGAGGAACCTGTCAATTATTTCACCTGAGACACAATGAAGCATTTAGTTTTAGTTTTGATTTCCCCAGTGAGGTTGATTTAATTCATGTTTTAAGGTGGTGCTAATAAAGCTTTCTCCTGCTTGTAGTGGCTTCGGTTATTACTTTCTTCAAGGGCAAAATTTAAAACTGGAGATGAAAGGCAGGCATATGCAATTGGACATCCAGAACCTCTTTTACATTTTGCACTTTGTTCAGGAAACCATTCCGATCCAGCGGTACTTTATCATATTTTATCTGTGTTTTTCTCTTACTATTAACACCAATGATAGACTGTTCTATTGTCACTCCAATTAATTAATGATTACTAGTGAAGGATTGTTAAAAAATTATTACTTAATTGCAATTTATAATAAAAATCAGTTGAAAGATGCTATTCTCAAGGTGTTTTTTTACATGGGAATTATCAACCTTCTCATTAATTTTATTCTTTTCTTTAGGTCCGTGCCTACACACCAAAGAGAGTATTTCAAGAACTGGAAACTGCAAAAGAAGAGTACATTCGGGCTACCTTTGGTATCCGCAAAGACCAGAAAATTCTGTTACCAAAGATTGTAGAATCATTTACAAAGGATTCAAGTTTGTGTCTGGCTGGTGTCATCGAAATGGTCCAACAATCTTTGCCTGAATCACTTCGCAGGAGTATTAGAAAATGCCAGCTAGGAAAATCCCGCAAGAGCATTGAATGGATTCCTCACAATTTTACCTTTAGGTATCTAATATCTAAAGAGCTAGTAAGATGATTGCATGTATGCATCCGTGCATGGTTCTTGGGCATGATGCATTTGCAAGTATTTTTATTTTGGAAGATTTCACATTTTTCATTGTACAAAGCAAAAATGAAAAGGGAAATGGTAGGATATAACAATGTGGCATCTTTTGTAATGTAATTGCCATTATGCTGTGTCATGCAATAGGAAGAATCAATGATTTCTGTACTGTGCATTGAAGTTTGTATATAGTTTTGGGGTGAGCTATTCCTTGATTTAGCCTGAATACATGCTAATCTCCATGCTTATTTGCTGGAATCAAACCAAAATGTAGTATATTCAATCACAAAAAGCATAGATTCTGACATGGATTCCTGCTAAATTGTTAACTAGGAATGTTTCATAGAAGTTGTCTATTTCACAAACCAATACTAGTGTTTGCATGTTATACTTTGAACAAATCAAATAATGCTGCTAAAAGAAACAGAAGAATGAGTTGCTAATTACCAAGAAAGAATATACTGAACTCTTGTCCAAAACAATTCGAAGGATCTGTCAAATGGTATGACTCTGTATCATCAGAACCAACTACTCGCTCAAACTGGCCTCTCAAGTATTTGTACCCACCTGTCTCTGTACCTCTGTGCAGCATTATCCCAGCTCCAGCCGAAACCATCGGCATCATATCAAGCACCGATTTCTCCTCTCCCATTTCCAACTTTCTGGCAAACCCTACCTTCTGTCCATTGCAATACGTCACCCAGCCCTGTGAACTGCCTGGACCATGGACAGGCTCCAGGACTACGCGAAGAACACCGTACTGGATCGAACTGGTGAATCCTCGTGTGCTAAGGGGAAGTTCGACGAGGACCAAGGGAACGCTTTTCGTGTTTTCTTGCAAGCAAAGCTTAACTTTGTTACCATATATGGGACAAATGACGGTGCCAGTGACTAGTGTTACGGTATCAGGTAAGCAATAGGAAAAGATTAACTTGTTGTATGCCCAGCATGGTGCCAGAAGGTCCATGACTTGACGTAATAAATTCCCCCAGGTCAGTTGATGATGACTGTTGACGCTGGTACCTTCACCCCCTTCCATCAATGAACAATTCTTTGCTATTTCCCAGAAAACAAAGAAAACCACCCAAGAAGAAAAATGTGAAAAAAGAAAAAGGAAAACAGTTGCATGCGATAAGAAAGAAGATTAAAGAGATAAGGATGGAGAAATTTGAAGGACGAAGAGTTCTGAAGGGAATGAAAGTGTTCTACGTTTAACTGAAGAAGTCCTCGTTCAGTAACATGTCAGACACCTTGGCGCTCATCCTGGTTGTTTCATTGATCCCAAATGCATGTTTTGAAGTTTCTTGGGCCGGATTTCGGCCCCTCATAGTTTTGTTTAGGTTTGTAGTTTGTCCTCTACTAGGCCTGAATCTAAAGTCGAACTCCCTTTGCTAACTTCATTATGTTACAAATGGGTTTAACATATTTAGAACTTGAGAATTTTGACTACAAAGTTTTGATTGGGTTAGTTAGAGTTGAAGCACATGCTGCAAATGTGCACAGGCCCAATTATTCACAGTTTACATGCCTACGGTCTATGCGGATGGCTAAAATTGAATCAAATAAATTATTTAATAAAATCGAATGTAAGTTTGATAAAATGATTCAATCTCATTAATTTATTAAATCTATTAATTTTAAAAATTTAATCCAATTAATTTATTTAATCTTAAAATTGAACTAATATATATATTTTAAAATTATATAAAATATATACAATTTTTAAATGTTAATTTGATAGTTTATGTGAAAGTACATAATTATATGAGTGAAAAGATAAATATTATTTTTTTATATTTAAAATATTTATATATTTTATAATTATAAATTAAGTTTATAAATTTTAATATTACAATTCACAAAAGATAAAAGTGATAAAATTTTAATTTTTTTAACTTAAAATTGAAGTGACTGAACTAATTTGATATTTAATTAATTTTAATCGATTTTTTATATGATAGATTAAATAGACCAAACCGATTAATTGTTGACCCTGACAGGCTAATGGGTAAATAACTCAGTCGAACGCAGTGAGTGACACAATGAACTTGAGCATCTGACTCCAAAAATCCCTATCTCAATTCAATTTTGGTTCGTCTCCTGCATGTGCACGTGACCCCATCTCATAATTTGACACTAAAAATCTGGCAATCTTGGTGAAACCTACAGAGTTGGGCTCAATCATGATCATCTGTCACACGTACGCTGTGCCAGCCAAGTCTAGTGAGGACACTCGTGCTCTTGGCCCGGGTTCTGTCGGCAGAGTGCATCAGTGTTGGCTACAGTGCCATATCCTTTTCAGCATCTCAAAGCCTTGACCTGAATTGTTGGATCACATTCTTAGTTGTTCCTTTCAGTTGTTAATCGACATCATAAGTTGAATCTCCCTAGTCCCACCCCCCACCTTTTATAGTTAATTTTGATGATGAATCATGCTCAACAAAGTGGTCACTCACTCCCAAAATTGTAAGTGGAAGGAAAGAAAAATGTACCAGGGAAAACCTTTATCACAACAATTATTGACGTAATTATTATCCAAATTATGGGATATTGGAAGATATGATATAATAGTGTTGTTCCCTACTTACATCCAGTACAAGAGACGTAATCAAGCTAGCCCTCTCAAAGCTTTCAAAACATTACCCAGAAACTCTCAGATCGGATCAGATCAGATCAGATAACCAGCTACATATATGGCTAAATTTCTAGTATGGCTTCTCGCCTATATAATTTCCAGGAGGATTGTAGAAACAAATAGTTAAAGTAATTTGCTCCTTGCATGTAGCTTGTGCGCACCCCAGCTCCGAAGAGTTCTTCCAAACCACTTGCGTGTAAACTCCACACATATGATTTGGTGCACAGGAATTGCTGGCATAGTTGTAGTAGCTCTTCTCCTTCACCCATGTATCCACTGCCATACGCGGTGTCACGGCTGCTCCACCGCTCCAAAACTGGTTTGCTCCATACTTCTGATCTGTCAGGTTTGCAAACTGACAACCCATTTTGTTCCTTTGGTATCGCGCAAGCCGGCTTGTGGCATTGGCTAGTTGCTCACTCCACCTGAGGGGTCCAACCCCGACTGCAGCTCTTGCTTGGTTATGTGCTTCCAGGAATTCTCTGGCTGCACTAGGCAGCAGCACTGCTGGAGCCGTGGTGCCAGGGCTCGCTGCTGGTACGACCCCCTGGGCTCTGTTGTGGCAAACAGCTAGAACTAGAACTGCGACCAAGGCGTAGGCCATTCTCTGTTGTCTATAATTCTGTCGTGGTTACCAGAAATAATTTATAGACATCCAAGGATGGGTCTGATCTATTGGGAGGAATTATTACATCACACTTCAACAAATTAAGACTCCTAAAGTGTGATTTGAGGGTGTCATTGTTTTCAAGCTGTCATAAATTTATGATAAACATGATTTCTTTTCTTGCAGTGACATTACTCGTTTACCCTTTTTAGTTTTGGAGAATTGAATCAATGAGATCATGCTCAATCTGTAGGCAGAGACGTGTGGTATTTGGGAATTGGGAAGTGGGGGCAATGTGCTGGGTGGGAAAAAGTTCAGGTCGGGTAATGCTACTGAAAAACGGGTGGAATTTATGGGATTTGGTGCATCTTATTATTGTTTAACTAAGTTGTTACTTTGATTAATCAGAGTTTAGAATCTATAGATTTTCCTTGGAGCATTGCACGTGACCTTTGTTGACTTCGATCTGCCCATGTGATGTGCATTTAATCTTTTATTTCATTAATTTCAACTGCAATGTAAAAATACATAAATAAAATATTTTAATCTCACATTAAAAAAAATTTAACAAATTTATAAATATAAATATTACATACTCTATAAAATCAACGTCAAGCGTTACAACGAAGTAAGTAAGATATCCCAATATCATTCACAAAAATAAACATTGCATGCTCTATGGAAGTCTTTTCGAGGGAAGAGAAGTAATGGCCTGTGACATAGCCGCTTACCAGAACCAAAAGCACAAACCAATTGTTGACCCAGTCCTGAATGGCCCAATGGCTAAGTCTGCCATGGTCTCCAAAGGTCCACACGTTAACCCCAAGACAACTGATAAAAGGCTGGCCCGCTGTGATGTTTATTGGGCACGTCTTCTTTCTAGAGTAAGAAACTAAGGATTACTTGAAGACCATTCACCCTGTAATCATCATGTAAAGTTAAAATATACTTAACTTGAGCAACCCAGACAAATTAAGCAAGGAGTTCATAAACCTAACGAACTTAATGATTTTTCTTAACGTAGTTATATATGAACATAAGTAAGTATTTAAGCTTCAAACTCAAAATCATACTTAATTTGATGATAATAGACGTAATTTGAGGAACTCAAATATCTTTTCAAATTGAAGTTCAGTCTTGGCCAATATCAAGTTAACTTTCCTGTTTGCACTGGAATAAGAGTTCTAACCCAGAATTACATTGTCCGCTTGACAATGCATCTGCCAATTATCCATTACCAGTGCCACAAGGAAAATACAGCTCAAGATTCCAGGCAATATGTTCATTCCAATGTTCCTTGCATAATCACTTTCGGTTCTTTTAATCAAGTTCTATTGGTTGAGGAGATTGCTAAGCATCCTGATATGTATTTCAGACAATGAATTTGTCCCACAAATCTATCTGTAATAATAAGTTCCTTTTGATGAAGGCAAAGGGTTACTGCAAACTCTGCTGCATTAATTGGACAAGAGCCTGCAAATGGTTCTTATTTTTTACCCTTTATGTTGGTCTGGCACTACCACTCCTCCAGCCCTTTGCTTGGCAGAAAGGGCCAACTGCTGATTGCTGTGTAGTCAAGCCCTTTCATTTGCTGCTATGTTTCTGTTTACATTTTATAAGGTTTGTACTATTAGGCTTCAACGGGAACAAAAATTGGGCGACGAACCCAATCAAACAGGATAGAATAACACTACGGAAGCAACCAAAAGGGTAGGTGACAATTGAGAATTTGAAAGACTAATTGGGGAGTTAAGAGTTACCGCAATACAGAAAAACATCGGGCAAGAACACTAGAACAGGCCACCCTGGCTGCCGTGGCAAGCTGGCCTTAGTACTTATTGTTTCTAACGAGTGGAATGGTTGATCAATAGGCCTACAAAAGTAAGATGGACAGCTACTTGTTCAAGGAAAGTGATATACCAATCCAGACCCGTTGACTTTTTACAATCTATATCAAATAATATTAATCACATTTATGAAGGAAATTACAAAACCATTAGCCCAAAAAATTACTGAATCTCTCTGCTAATGAACATGTCATCTTGCCCCTTTGATCACCGGGGAATGAGTTTTGAATTACTGGAGGAGTGGTCAACACTGTCTTTCCTTATTCCAGAGCTAGCTTTGATGGCAAGAGAACACAAGTCTGGTAAGGAAAGAGGTTTGTCGGATTGGGAGAGTGGCAACAGGAAATAAATTTGTCCCGATTGGAGTTCCTCATCATCAGGCAGCCGGGGCACGCAGGTGCCAACGGACATGGACTCTGAGCTGCAAAGGAAGCAGTTCGGGTTCTGGGAAACGACGCCCTTGGCTTGGATTGGTTGCCCGAACTCCTGAACATGACCATCGATGTGAACCACCTTGGCGGACGTTGTTGATGAGCGTCCGATCGTGCTCGACCCTTCTCCTCCTCCAGCTCCCACAGGTCTACCTGATTTGGGGTTTGAAGTTGAGGATGCACAGGCACCCATTTAGGCTTCCGTTGTGATTTTCTTTTAATGCGTTGAGAAAGGCTAGAAGGGAATTTCGTTGGGGGTAGTGATTACATTTATATCACTAGGTTCTTGTATTATTAATTGTTGCTGATGTCCATGGGATGCAATATTTATATATATCCTATAGTTTTTGGTAAATAGTTTTCTTGGTTTAAAGCGTAAACTCAACATGTCACCATTACCCTAAATCAAATTGTTAAAAAAAGGTCTCAAATTTAGTTACAGTGCTAAATTTCAATGCTCAATCTGAAAACAGAGTATGATTCCAAGTCACACCGGCCATGTAGCTTTATGCTCAACAACAAAATGGTGAACAGTTGGAAAACGATTATATATCCAATGCCCACCATCCAATATGTTCATATCTTGTTTGACAAAAATGAGAAAAAGGGAACTATTAAATGGCAAAAACTGTTCCCATTTCATTATCTTATATAATAAAATTTTGACCATCATGAAAAGTTCATTGGCTTGGCTCTACTAAAACATATACTTATAAACCCTACGCATTTAGTTTTTGATTTGCAATTAAATAAACCGTAAATTAGTACTTAAAATTTAAAAATAAACAATTGGGTATTTGAATTTTATTTTTGTTAATTCTGCTAACATAAATAGTGACGTGTTCCCAACGATCAATAAATACTCGACAACGAGTGCATTTTGACAAGTTATTGAGAGACATATCAAACTTTTATTTAATAAAATTTAAAAAAAATGTAGTGTGTAATGGAAGCAAAATTTATATATTTAATTACACGTTTTTAAATTTTAGATAAACAATAGAACAAAGGCAAATGCATAATTAATTTGGAATTTTTATGTTGAGCTGGAAGTGATTAAGGAAAAACAAGTAGTACTAGTTTCTCTAGTTGCTTCCTTTTCATGTCTTTCCTATCACCTTGGGTTTTTTTTTTTCATTTTTCATAACTGAATATTTAATTTAGTAGCTTTCTTGTAGCCTTGAAATTCAAGCTAGGTTTCTCAATCAGACCATATTGGTCAAAAGTTTTTTTTTGCTTATGAAAGTGAAATCCCATTAAATTAAGCATGGTTATCTTCACCCAAAGTCTAATTTATAGGCTGTTTTCCCATAACTTAGGGCTTGCTACAAATTGAAAGCTATGTCAATCAATACTATTGAAGACTTTTGTATGAAATAAATTTCAGTCATTTTCACAAAGCAGTCAGCGTGAGGTAGGGTGAGTAATTTTTAATTCAAATTTTTATATATAAAATTGAGTTCGATTGAATCGATTTAAAAAAAATTGTAATAGAATTAAGCAAGCCGATTGTTTATTCGACCCTAAAAATAGGTACTGATAAATTCCTTTTCTTTTTCTCAAATTTTCAAGCTAAACACTCTTGCACTGGATGAGAGGATCATATTAAAGCATATTTCCAATCTTCCACTTAATATTTTAAAGTTGTTAAATTGCAAGGTTTCTTGATAGTTCCATTCACATTTTTCTAATTTCTCTTTTACTTTTGAAATTATAAGAGTAATGGTTATGACATATAAAATTATTATAAAAAGATAATAGAGTGAGCTTTAAAGGGTATCTGAAGAAATAAAAATGTGAATAATTTAAAGTTTCATATATGCTATGAAAAAAGAGTTTCAGATATTGGAATCTTGAGAAAAGGACAATGGAGTTTGTTGAATGACATAAACTGAAAAGAATTCTCTCAAAAGATAGAAAAAGGCTGTGAGAAGAGGAAGCAAGTGTAGTAGGAAGTAGTTTCCAAATTGAAAATGGAAAAAAAGAAAAGAAAATGAAAGATCACTACTGTTGAACTTGGAGGGGGTCCATGGTGAATATGGTGAACAAGACAACAGGCTTGGCAGGCAATCTAAATTGGCCTCCTTTTCCAGCAACAATTTGTTTCAACACGATTTTTCCCAATATGCCGACTTCCATCTGTCTTCTTCCTCTTTCTCAGTGCCACGATCGTTTAAAGGTTATCTTTATGTCATATTATCACCTAATTCTCTTGTCTCTTCACTTATTCCCAAGTTTTGATGTGTTTCTTTCAGAGAGGAACACCGACAGTGCACCATCATGGAGTTACAAACTTACATATGGATGGGGCAGCCTTGCCATCACCTTATCCAAATTACTAGCCTGTGACTTGAGCATTTGAACTTGAACTTGAACTTGAACTTGGTTGAGTTACAGAATGAATTGATTTCAGTTTATTGATTATCTTAAGTTAAGTCAAACTTTTGAGAATTAAGAGAACTTGGGCTTGATTATTTTGATCAGGTTATCAGCTCCACCATCCTACATACTTTGACAGTAAAGTATTACTACAATCTAAAATAAACAATGGGTATCCATCTAAAGGAGGCTTTCATAAATAACATAAGCAGCACAGGGAAAGTTGGTTGTCAGCTCTTGAAAATTCTGATGGGTATATCTTTTGCACTGTAGAGGAGGGAGCTTTTTAATGGGGGCAAGAGAACTCAAGTCGATCAAAGGTGAGCAATCATGCTTTTGAAGATCCACGTTATGGCTTTTTCAGATGCAAAAGGCGTGGACCACTCTTTTGTTCTCTAGGTCTATCATTGTATGTAGTCATAAAACAACATTCTAGTTGAACATTAACTCTTTGATCAGTAGGAGGAGGGGCAGGGCCCTTTCTACGATTTCAATAGGTTAAGAAAGCACCCAGAGGTCTGCCCTTAAACCAAAAGGGAAGAAAGTGTGAATGCCCCCTAGCAGAAAAAGGGTTTGGGGTAGAGCAATGTATAGTACTGAATCATACTTGCCATCTCCAAAACTTTTATCATCTATAAGGTCGAAGGGGCAGTTTTCTTCATAGAGAAGGATTGGCAATTGTGATATTGAATAATGAAAAGGAGCAATGAAGGTTATCGATTGTGATCATTCTATAATCATTCTCTGAACAAATCCCAAAATCTAAAGTTATTATTACAAGCCTACAAAGCTACTACACGTGCACTATTTAACATTTGATTTATGGAATTCTTTATTAACCTGCATGAAAGAAACCATCAAACTATATTCAAAGTGTTGATTCAAATTTAACCGGTTCAAGAAAACTGAAGAGAGAGAGAGAGAGACAAGTTGGAATCTGAGAAACAGCTGGATCCAAATCCAAAAGGAGGCTCTGCAACCAAGGTAGTTGAAGCCATGAATAATATAGCAATAGCACGCAAGGAGGAAAAAAAGGGGAAAAACACACTAAACTAGTGGGGGCCAAAGCTTGCTTGGAGTTAGCAGTGGAGATTGGAGCTCTCTGCTAATCAGTCCAAATTTAAGCTGCATTCCAAAATTGAAAAAGATGTGGCATTCAACTCCTTTACTACTAACACTTGCAATGAATGTAAGAGGGCTGGAATCTTCTTTTCACCCAAATACGCACAGAAAGGTAACAACAAAAATAGTGGTGAATAGCAAAAGTGATTGGAGATCAGAAGTTCCTGGCCAGCTGCTAGCAAAGTTGCAAAAAAGTATTTGTACCTACCTCCAAGAATAGGAAATGTGCATTATTGTTGCATTTATGAGAAAGTCATTTGCCTCGAATTCAAGCCGGCCGGTCACACTTACCCACTGTCCATAGCCCCTAGACATCTAGACCGTGAAACTTGCATTTTTTATATGAATGGCAATGAGGTAACTCTACCAATGTGAAACATTTTTGACAGCGATGGGTAGTGCAATATGTATGTGTATATATGAATTTCCAACTAGCCTAATCAAAAAATAAATGAATAATGCAGATGTACTATGCATTCCACCTTAATTGGACCAACTCACGAGAAGCTGAGGACCACCAACTTGCATGAAATGATGGAAGCTTTGGGTGTTTGTTGGCCATGGTCCCGCCAATAAGAGCAACCCGTTCTGATTTCAAAACATGACCATTTTCCATCCCACTTGTTTTTCGCATGCCAGCATGGTAATTCCTATGCAACCAAACATGTTTCCTCCATATTTTCTTGTTTCCTTTGTTTGGTATCCTCCCTCTGCTTGACCATGATTAGCAACGCATTGGGTTCTTCCAGCTGTCTCTAATTATGGAGTTAGCTTGACTAATTAATCTTTTATTCTAAACGTGGCATGCATGGTAATGATCAATATTAATTCTTCATTGATGAATCCTTGTATTTGGATTGGTTGCTTGAGACTTTAAGAGCAGGCCAACCCAGACGCAATCTTTGGTACGGTTAGACTTAGCAGCTTTAAAGAATCCCAGTTGGCTCATGAAAAGCATCCAAACCAATTAATTCCTTGTTATGGATGGTAGCATCTCTTTTTCTTTTCTGAGGTTTACATTGAATGGAGATGGGTTTTGAGTTTAATCCCCTTTAGAAGGTGAAAACTTGGGACTCAATTAATTCAAAGGTACCCAACTAGGCAGCTGATGATGATGATGATGATGACATGTGGTTACAAATGCATAGAAATAGAAAGACTGAGCCCCCATCCCAACAAGGTGTTAGGTTCCAGCTAAGTGCCAAAAGTTGAAAGAGAAGTTGGATCAATGCCCCCGAAAGAGAAAGGCTTGCTATCACACCGTACTAAAACCACCACTATCGTTAACTAGGCTAAGTACTCCCACCCAATTGACACTTCATGCATCTTTCTGGCCTTTGATCAAGCTGAAATCCTTTCAAATCAGGCTGCAGTAGTAGCACATTTCAGGCAAACAAAAAAAATGGAAATCGATTGCGTTAAGAAAAAGGTAATGGTACTCATAATAGTAATCATCACTTCACTGACAAGGGGCCAAAAGCTAGTTAAAGAACAGTACAAGAACAATGGAGCTGGACTAAATTTTGTATTTTTTTTTGTACAACTCTTTTAACTTTGAATCGATTTAAGGTAACATTAACTTAGATGGCATTCATTCCTCTTTGAACTTTAAAGGAAATGTGATAAGATCAATACATTGAATGCAAATACCATTATTGTTTTTCTATTCTGCACATGTTGATAAAGCTTGTTTAAGTGCCCGTCCAAGATTAAGCAGATTCACAGGGCAATAGCCTAATCCTTAATCCCAGCCTGGAACACCTTTTTTAGTTTTGTTTGTGTGTGTGTGTGAGTGTGAGTTGGGACTTCTTCCCTATCCAAAACCAACCAATTGTGACCCATGCTACAGCCAAACAGTGATAAGTTTCCACAGATAAAAATTTGGAGAATCATGTGTCGTTTTCACGAGCATCATCATCACCATCATGAATGAATCTGAAACTATTCAAACTAGGACAAAAATCTTAATCCATCTCGATTCCATTATCAACATGGCAAAATTTTTCCAAGCTTTGCAACAATGCCACAATCTAAAGATCTCTGTTGGGACAAGGCTGAGGTAATATAACAGTACTAGCATCTGTTCTGATATATCATACAATTAAGAAATTTCATATTCAAGCATTTGATTTAGTGATACGTTTAGAAATTAATATAATGTAACTAAAAGGAGAAGGAGAAAGTAAGGGGAGAGTGGTTTTGGTATTCTTTACCCACTTTGTCAAATGAGACTAACCGAAATTTGGCTGTTTTCATTATTGTTGTCATAATTGTGCAGCTCCAAACAGCTGTAAAGAATCCTCCCGAAGACACTCAATCCATCACAAAAGCGTTAAGCAGGACATAAGCTGGTTAAAACGTGAGCCGTGTTGTTTAGCCAGCAGTATTAGGCCATTTGCTCCCATTCCTTTGTCTCCTCCTCCCTGTTTCCGTGCACAATGCCTTTCCCCTCAATCACTTGCCTAATACCCCATCACCACCCATATAACACGAATCATACATTTTTCCCTCTCCTACAGGAAAATTCGAGCTATTTTAGTTCATTTTATTTAATCAAGATACGATTCAATCAAATTTTTTAAGTTATAGTAGATACATGTAATTTTTATCTTGTTAAAATTTACAGAATGGATGAAATTTATGAGATTAATGATGAGAATAAAAATTTGGGTTTTATTTTTTGAGTAAAAAAATCATATAGACATCATTGAAATAAATACTCGGACGCTTTATTTTCTAGTTTAACCAAATAATGTTTTATTATTGGCAACGTCGGTTTTCATTTTAGTTATTTTTAGACAGAGACTACCGTACGCATCAATCCAAGGTTTAGTCTGTTAACAGCGTTTAGAATTAAATAAAATTAAAGGGGAATATATGGTTTGAATATCGTGTAAAGTACATTGACCCAAATAGGGGTAAAATTGTAACACGACCCTCACATGGGCAAATGGGGAATGTAAAGAAAAGGCTAGAAATCTGAACTTAAAGCTAATCGCATCCACGGCGAGGGTCAACCACCCCCCGTTTCTAACAATGATTTGACTAACAAGTCTCAAGATGATTACATATTTACAAATATACCACACTTCGTTTCCCAAATTAACCCCCACTATTCAGGAATGGCACTCAACATAGCCTTAAACTTTCTCCTCCCTCTACCTCCTCTCCCTGTCTTCTCACCACCGTCCCCAGCACCGTCGCAGCCGGCATCTTTCCGGAGAGGAGACTCTTCTGGAAACACGAAAGGAGTAACAGTTTTACGTCTGCACCCACATTTTTCACCCCCACTTCTCATTAAAGCAGAGCTAGCTTTGACGGCCAATGCGGCCATTTCTTCAGCTTGTAAAGGATGTTTAAGCCAACTCAATGGCAAAGCAAAGTAAAGTTGACCAGGTTGGAGCTCCTCATCTTCCTGAATAGCCGAGGCGACATCGTCAAAGTCCATTTCATCTGAGTTGCAGATAAAACACATGGGATTCCTTTGTAAGACATAGGAAGCCTTAACAGGGTAAGGGAACTCCTGTAGCCTCCCATCTTGGAGGATCAGCTTGGCTGTTGCTACATGAGTTGACTCGCATGAACTACAAATACCCATTTCGGATTCGTGGATTTTAACGTTTGTTTTCCGGAACCCAACTCAGTTTCTGAGTTTTGGAAATGAGAGGAAGGGGGAGTTTATATAGGGGGACTAACGAGAGACAGAGAGAGGAAGAGAGGCCTCGGATTTTGGACACCAGGTGCCACATAGGATTTTGTCGTGTTGTGCTATTAGGCATTTGTATGGAACAGTGGGCAGGGGATGCCAGCCTGTAAGTTGGTGGTGACAGGTTGTATGAGTGCTAAGGATCACTGTCTTTGACACATCAACCCTCGTTTCAAGATGATATTACTCTGACAGGAACTGTTGGGCTTTTCCCTTCTTTCTCCATTTTTCGTTGTGGATCTCATGTCAGCAAATACCATTTCTCCACTGCAATAATTTCTAAATCTCAAGTTTAACATTTGAAGCAGTAAAACGAACACTTGCAGAGTCTTAACATGTTTTTGTTCTAACTTATGTATCTAACCTGTATTGTTCAAGCTAATACAAGATTATTAGTACCATGAAATGAAATTGGGTTCCCATGTTCTAAAGAACCATGCATGTCAATAACAATACTTGTTAGGAAGAGAAATTTCTTTTGACATTAACAGTTAAGACTTTTATAAATTATGGGTTTTATTGTCTAGTAGTAATGTCTTTTTAATGAAGTCAAGTCGAAGTTTGAATCTTGGTTTCTTTCATTCTTGATATATACATTTACTACAAGAGATGCAAACCCAAAGTATACATGACAACTTGGTTTTTATCGAAAAAGTGCTATTATGAATATATTCATAGCATTTTGAAGGTCTTGAAAAACTCATTAGCATTGAAGTCAAAAGCATAATGTGTAATAGTTTTGGTGAGGGGGGTTTTTCTTTATGAACCTATGTCATTTACTGCTGATTTTAGGGTTGGGAGGACAGGGTGGAGATGGGGATGATGATGTACATTGTTGTAAAACCTGAACTAGGCTAAAGGATTCATCACGTGAACACATCTTTGGATGTAGAAACTCCCCCCTTTTAATGGAAACGATACCTAATACCAACTTCTTGAATGCACCACCTTCCTTTTATGGCTACTTGACATGAAGAGCAAGAAAACATCTACTATTATGGTAACCCAGATTTTTTATCTTCTTTAATCTCACCTCTTTTGACATTAAAAAGCTACTATCAAAGTTGAATATCTCGATTGTTAGAAGTCAAACTGAAATTGAAGTTGTAGAGCTTTGAATGGGACCAAACTAACATAGTTGCTTTGCTAGACTTTACCCTGGACAAAAACTGGGGGCGAAAGAAAATGGGGTTAGGTGACAGGAATGTAGTTATATTGAAAAGGAAGGGTGTTTGGAGGAGAAGAGAGGAAGAAAAGAAGGGAAACGTGGCAATTAAGCATTGTCCAAGGGAATTGAGGGGATGGAACTGTACAGGGCAAGGGAAAAGACACGTGGAACAGAAGGGCCTCGGAAAGAGTGAATCCCGAACAATCCGACAAGAGATGGCGTAAGGTGATCTGGGTCTGCTGCTGCTGGCGCTGGGGTTCAACCCCAATGCCCTACGTATTCCTGCCATGTCCCTGTTTCCCGCTGCCCCCTTATTTTATTTTGCAGTTCAAGCGTGGACAATGGCAGGATTTTCCCTTCTCTGCCAATTTTCTATTAGCCCTGTAGCGTTTACATGTGCATGAGGGATGGGGGTGAGACTAATTGAGAGCTTACATTAGTCTTCCCCACCCTTTTTCCATCCTTGGAATTGATTAATGCCACTAGCTAAAATCCCATGGTTTTACCAGAGTTAAATACCCATTTGTTAGTAAGACTTGAGTTCTATTGGAGACAAGATGGTACTGATCAGATTTCAGCATAAATTCACTACTTGCTGTCTACCACAATTCTCTAAAAGGGGAACGACAGGTTCAAGCTTTGAATTTAACCTTATTAAAAAGGATAATAGTAGGAATTGGGTCAAATTTGGCTTGTTTTGGTGTTACCATACAACCATATACTGCATGATTTCGATTTGTCTAACACATGCTCGTTGATGAATGATATCTGTAACCCAAGTTCAAGTTAGGGAGAGATCTCTTGTCTCTTTTTTCTATTTTATTAAAAATCAAGGAATATTGTTAATAATTGAGGAATGAACATGTCCCACTGCAAACCCTTTCTATGAAGCTTCATGGGGCTCCTTTTCTTCTCCCCCCACTCCATCCACCGAAAACACTCACCCTAGCCAGTAGAAAGCAAAACCAATCATACAATCAAAGTCTTCCCCTCTTGACACACGAATGCTTAATTTTAATTTTCTTTAATCATATTTTTCATTAAACTACATTAGTTTCTTGTGTTTTATTGGATGACCTTCGGATTCCCTTTTTTGACTTTCATCAAAGCAAACCCCATCACCCCATTTTTTTAAATTACTTCTTTTAAAAATAAGCTCATAATTATAACATTAATCTCTATTTAATATGAAGAAGTTACATGCAGCCCACTTGCTTAATCTCTCTATGAGTTAGGCTGACATTAAAACCCCTATCAAAACAATTGATTGAAATCTTAAAAAAAATGCTAAATTAATTACATTTGTAGATTTGTGATTGATTAGCTTGCCTAACAATGGATAAGGACAAGAGTTTGGCTAAATGTCTTGTTTTCCACTTGGTTAACATCAAGAAGACCAGTCTAAACCCTAATAATAATCCAAAAAACTACAATTGGAGATCATGTTTGAAGCTTCACCATATGAGGACAATGTCCATAAAAATATGCAACAAATCGATAGCGATTTGATCTATATATGACATTCTGTTAGATACATGTCTTTGCTTAATCCAATGGATTATGAGCAAAAATAGTTGACAAAGAAAAAATTAAAAACCCCACCAACCGGCATAAACACATTACATTTACATTCATAATAATGTAGTCTAAACACCCTAATATAAATTAATTTAACATAGATCTTTTAGGTTTCGGAATGGGATTTCAGTGCCAGACAACTTTTCTTCCTTGGTATCTTTGATTTTCAATGATGGGATCATAAAAAAGCTGGCCATGGGCATTTGCCATGAAAGTTCCTCCCCTTGTATCTAGAAATTGGAGCTCTTTTTTTTTTTTTTGACAATGTAAGGTTGTCATGCTCATCTAGGTAGGCCCTTAAGGGGTCTGATTTTCCGTATGGTCAAAATCTCAAAAATCATGCCACAACATCTAATCTCTCCTAACAAATCAAATTATTGGGGTATTCATTTCAAAATTATTTAAGGGAAAACTGTATGAATGCATTCATTGTATGCCCAAGGATTTCTATTATTATTATTTTTTATTAAATGACAAGGATCAATGCATTTATAGCATACACATCCAAGAAACCCAATAAAAGAACTTTTGTTTTATGTTATAGATTCATGTTTTGGTTGAAATTCTGTCTAATCCGTACTACCCAAGATTATGTGGAAAATAAACTTTTTGGCATCATAATGATGAATTTTAATATAAATTAAGCAGTAAGTGGATATCATTAATTCGAGTTGTAGTTCCTATACTTTGCCAATATATTCAAGACCAAAACAAATTAAATTTGTTGTTAATTAGACATAAATAAAACAAAGTGCGTGACCAATAAATAAAATTATATGCATAATTGGCTCCTAATGTGTAAATACGTAAGATCATTTATGAACCTAAATTGAAGGGCAAGTCCATTAAATTTGAAGTTTTGGCTCTCAAATCCTCTATTCAAGTGTAAGAGTTTGAATGGACACGAAATGAAACTTTGACATATCCGATTCTTATGCGACATTTTTTGATCGACATTTTTCTAGCATTAATCGATGGGATTACAAACAAAAATTGTTGAGAAATTGAAGAAATTTAACCCCCCCACCCCACCAACCGGCATAAACACATTTCACTCACAATTAAATGGTCTAATCACCCTAATTAAACAACATGATATCTTATCCAAATAAATTTCAGCTAGAACACAAAGAAACATTTTGGATGGGTTTTGACTGCCGGTACAAACTCTCTCTTTAGTATCTTTGATTCAATCATTGAATCATTTAAAAAGAAAGAAAAAGAGAGGCCCTTGTCATTGCCATGAAAGTTCATGGCTCTTCCCTTTGGATTAATTCCTCTCTTCCTCCTTGGCCTTATTTGGGTAGTAAAAAAAGAATAAAATGATTTTCAGTTGTCTTCTCTCTTTCTTTCTCTCTCTCAAATCAGCCACCGCATGCATATATGATCTCTGCAACAAATAAAATCATTGGTATCAATCAAAATTATAGGCAGTTCATGAAATAGATTAATAATATTAAGTACCCCGGAAGGAAAAAAGACCAGACCAATGGTAGGAGCATTTACATCGTACTTATCAAGAAAAGCTTGGAATTTTTGTTTTATGTTACAGGTTCATATGTTTTGCAAAATATATTGTCTAAATTTGTGATACTCACGATCATGTAAAGAATAATAATATATAGACTTTGAAATGAAGAAAAGGTATTCTAAGTTAGTATCATTATTTGTGTTAAGTTCGAGCCTGGAACTTGCCTTCAATTGGAAGTTTCCATGCTTGTTACAATTTATGTCTACAAGCAAATATAATCTTCTTTTGCAGCGTATAGAATAATAGGATTCATGTAATGCATAAAAGTAAGGGTTTTTTTTTTAAAAAAAATACTCCTCATACATGATGTATTTTTGTAAATAACTTTCTTTATAATTTTAACTATTTTTAGTCAAAAAAAAATTAAATTTGAACAAAATTACTTTCAATGAAATCAACCTATATGTTTAGATCTGTGCTTCAAACCGACTCATATCTTTTGACTTTTTCTCACTAGACCATTTATCTTGAGTATTCTTTGTTAAAAGAAAAACTTTTAAACATTTTGAGTAGTTTGAAGTGGTTTTTGATACACTAAAAAAAACTTTTGAGTATGTTGAGCATTTTAAGTATTTTGAAGTAGTTTTTAATACTTGGAAAAAAACTTTTAAGCATTTTGAGCATTCTTTCCTAAGTAGGCATATTCTTTGATTATATTGTTAAATGAAATATGGTATTGTTTGAAATTGTTGATTTTGTTCAATAAAATTTAGTAGTTTTGATGATTTTTAGGCATTGCGTAAATGGTTTTTAGATATTATATGACTAATTTTTAGGCATTGCGTGACTGATTTTTAAGTATTGTGTGACCGGTTGATATGGTATTGCTTGACTAGTTGATAGGTATTGTATGACTAGTTAATAAGATATTACGTGATTAGTTTTTCTACATTGTGACTAAGGTATTGTTTAAAAATCAGTTACGCAATACTTAAAAGCCAGAGATACAACAATTAAGTCAAGCAATGCCTAAAAATAGTGACATAATGTTTAAAAACTATGCAATACCTAATAACTAATTGATTTGTTTGCTCGTAGGCAGGTTTAAGTTCCCTAAGTCGTACAGTGTTCTAATTTATAGATATGTCTAATCAATTTCAATCTTTCAACTTTGAGGTTCTATAAATATAAACTAATAAATCTAAAAATCTAAACTACATAGTTTGATGTCATCTTACTCTTTAAGATGACGACAAAGAGTTGGATAATGAGACAGACAGCATTTAGCAAAAGAGAGATCTCGAGATTTAAGTTTGAAAGTTTTATTCGGATGGTGGGATAGAAAAAACTGAAACTATTTTAATTTGTCTGAAACTATTTTAATTGGTTAAAAATAGTTAAAATTATAATAAACGATAGTTTTGAATTAGGCTTATGACGAAGGTTATCTATCACAATTTTCTTTAAAAACAATGAATCAACATATAATTAAAAGAAAAAGATTTCGCTCTTGATTCATGGTTTTTTCATGTACTTATCTTTTGTAACTTAATCGAATCGACTAAAAAATGTATAATATAATAAAATACAATAAGTTTTCATAATATTTTTAATTTATTAAGCAATGCAAGTAAATTAGATGGAGCCAGATGATATATTAACAATGAAAAGGTCAAAAAAATTTTGAGTCCTATTTCTAAAAGATATGGAGATTCGGCCTGGATTAGGCCCAATTAATGCTCTCCGGAATAGGCCTATCATGTTTGGTTTAATTTTGAGATATGCACATTTTGAAAAAAGCATAATATTAAAGAACTCTTAAATTATATAGAAAATTTTAAATAAATTTTTAATTATTTATTACATTTAATTAAGTTTTTGTATTTTTATTTTGAGTCAAATAAGTTTTTATATTTTTATTTTAAATTAAAAAAACTCTTATAATTAATGTTTAATTTAGTTAAAATGTCATTTATTATTATATACTACGCTAATATGTCATATTGATGGTGATGTAATATGTTCATATATTATAATTAATAACAACGTGACATGTTAATATTACCTAATGACATGATCATGTGGCATTGTGTCACCCTTTACATCAATATGACGTTAATACCATATGATATAAAAATGACAAGTTGTATTTTGACTAAAGATAATTAATCACCCATTAATCATAAATGACTTACTTGATAAAAAATAAAAATATAAGAATTTGATTGAACGTAATAACAAAATAAAATTTTATTTATATTTTCTTAAATAGTTCAAATGTTTTTTTAACATTATGCCAAAAAATTGGATTATTTATTTCTAAACCTGTTAATTAACCATTTTAATATATAAAAAAGAAGGATATAATAAGTTATAAATGTATTTAAAATTTCTTAAATAATTTAAGAAATTTTTTATGTTAAATAAAATTTTTTATTATTTATCAAGCAATAAATTGTGTAAATTTAAAATGAAAGATAATTACATAAAAGGCCGAGATTAATGTAAACTACAAAATTTCTAAAACAAAGGAGATCTTCTTGGAATCCCTTTCCTACTCCTCTTTCTGTAAGAATGTAGAGATTGATTGCTTATACTCTCGTATTTGATTTTCTTGGGTTCCTTTCTCCAATTCTCCTTGTCTTTGCTCTGCAATCAAAATTTCTAAACAAAATCAACCCATATATATATATATATATATAAATACGATTTAATTATAGATAAAAGCTTCAACGTTCTTTAGAATAAATATTTTTAAAATTATAAATTGTTTTTTAATATTTCGATAATATGTAAAATTTAAACACGATATAAATTTATATGTTAAATACCTTGCATTCGATCGAACAATACACTGATGTCGTTCCGGGGAGCAATTGCCAACCACATGTTTCACACTTGGTTATGGAGTTGACGTAATTTGGTTGCTCTGTTTTCCTTCTTTTATTGATAAAAACAACTTTGGAGTCGTTGTTTATGTAAGGTTGGATATCTGATACATCATAAAGCTTATGCAAATCACCAATTTTAATTGCCACCTGATGTGAGGCTTTGTATACCTAAAAAGAGTAAAATTAAGAAAATAATTAGCTAATTTTGAGTGCTCAAAGAAAACCCAATTCGATTTAATATGTTTTATTGATTTTAAAGAATCTCGTTTTTATAATGAATTATTTTTATGGTATCGTTTAATTCTGTTTAAATATATAGATTTAACTTAATCAATTGTGTTTCGTTTGGTGTTCTATCAAATTATATAACAAAACAAGGGTAAGCTAGGACCCAATGAGTATGAAAATTTGATCTGCATTTTGTGGTTCAACCGAAAGAAGATGAAGTTGGTAAAGAGTTGGAACTTGAAAGGAACATACTTGAAGAATTTGGTGATGAGAATGTTCCTTGCCTTTCAAGCATCCTTCGCAAAGGACCAAACCCATACAATCTAGACAACAGAAGGTATTCTTAGAGTCATGGCTCTCACACAGGGAATAAAACTTGGCTTGCAACAATGGCATTAACCAACAAGGCTTAAGCCTAGACTCTTCCTCCATCGTTTGACCTCTCTCTAATTCTTGTAGAACGATGGTTTAAGGTTTTGCCAGGCTCTCGCCCTTAACTTAAATAGTGCTATACGCATTCTAATTGGGAAGTCCTGGTTTATATGTAATCCTGAAATCCTAGTTGTAAGAGGACTGGGACAAAATTTTCAAGCTTTCCTAGTTGTGGTAGGAATTCCTACTATTTCCAATCTTTGGCTTACCTTGTAAACGAAATATAAGAGAATGATTCGGTAAGTTTTTTTTTACTCGTTTTCCTTACCATTTCTTTGGCTTTTTGAATCAATTGTACAAGAACTTATATTGGGTTTGCGTATTTGATCAACTAGAAGAAGATTAGATTGCCAAGAGTCAGGATTTGCATTGGTAAGGACATGGAAGGATGGTTTTGAGCATGGATTATTTTCAAGTTTGTTCATTGATGGGCAAGTGGCCTTTGTTGATTTGAGGACTTGGGATTTGTGGGTGAGATGGGTGGGTTTTGAAGGAAGAATAATGGTCAAGAAAGCCATAGCCGTTCTTACTTTTTCCATTGATATCGCCATGATTTTGTTGACAAACAATTTTAAGATAATGGGACGCCAGGAAAACGTGAATAGGCATTAACCTTTATTCAAAATCATGGAAATCCAATTTCGATCGTTCGAGATTTTGTTGTTTGTATATGATATACTGTCAATGTACAATTCGCAAATTTTGAGCATCTAAGAAACCTGTCAAGATTTGCCTACTGGGTTTTCTGTGTGTGAAAAATGGGGACGTTACAGAGATGGAAGGAGCCAAAGATTGAAGAGAGTTGAAGCGAATGATAGGAACCAGGACAAGAAAGCCATAGCCGCAGACAATTGATATCTACTACATAACCTCGATGGGCAACGTGATGGGCCAGCACTGACCATGAGACTGGTAACGCTAGCAGTTGAGCAGGCCGCGGCTAGTGAGAGAAAAGACAAGGCCTGCAACCAAATACAACACAAAATTTTTCCATCAATTTGTGGGAAAGAGGATAACATAATGGTGATGATAACGAAGCAAAAAATCTTGTTACATACCCAGTCCCCCACAATGAGGATCAGCAGTACCCTTGGATGTCGCGGTAAGCATTTAACAAACACGGAATATGCATCGACCAATGCTAATGACACGCTCCATGGAGTTACTAAACCCATGACTGTCACCAAGTAGCTGCAAAGAATTTTAAAGGAACAAGGGAATTGGTTTGTCACCCAACAATGTCTTAGTTGTATGCGCAGGTCACGTTCAACAACAAAAACAGACATAATCTTCTCTATAATTACAGCTAATGAGCAATTCAACATGGTAGGTTCAACCTTGCAACTAATCAAGCAACACCATAGACCAGACAAGTTGAGACAACAGGAAGACATTAATCTTTGCTACTCTTTATCATTCACCTTTTACACTCAGCACAAAGGCTTTGAAGTTGCAAGAACAGATAAAGAGAACATGACATATTCCAGCAGTGATCAGTGGTAGATAGTTTCTATGATGAATCAGAACAAATTGGCACTTATAGTGTTATCTCATAAGCACACAGCAAACCTACCGAAACAAATCAGTCATTGAATATGAGAAGCTTGGAGTAACAATCTCTATAATGTACATAAATCACCATACAAAGTAGTTATATTCTCATCTTAAGATCGAGATGGACAGTGCCATATTATCTAGTTTCATTTTCCTAGAAACATGCAAAACAAAAGGATCTCAAGTCAAGCAATAAGCACTAAAACATACAAAGATCAATTAAGGGTCCTGGTAACAACTTTTATCATCCACCTAGTGGGAAATTCCAGTAGGAAAAGGAGAAATAACAAACCAATTCACTCCTGAACCCAATGAAAAGGAGAGACACCATAACAACCAGACATTGGACTATAGATAACAAATTCATCAGCAAATAAGTTTTCTTTTTTCATCGAGTTCAGCAACTAGCAAAAGAAACAGGCTATGTGCCAAACCCAAAAGTATTGGTTTTAATAACTGTAATTGTTGATACTCCAAATTTCATGTACTCTTAATCAACTACATTATAATCTTCATTCAAGCCTGATGGTTTAAGCAAGGGCAAGCATTTGATCTTGCATATCCCTGCACCGAAAAACAATAAGAATTGCATACAGTCCATTTGGCTGCATTTTCCCCACCCCTTTGCTTCCTCAACCAAAATGGAAGAGAAAAGAAATGTTTGATCCTCTCAGATAATTTTCCCCTTCCGATTATTAAAAGGCTCGTTTCTCTGCATTCATCAATAAGCAACACTCTTAAGAAAAAAGATGTGAAGCATGTCTCATCTTATATTCATTAACCAAATTGCTAACAGTATAAAAATCCAACTTTTTCTTGTTAAGTTTCAATCCTTTTAAATTCATCAAAAGTTTCACATCATTCATTTTCAATCAAAATTTCTTAGAAAGGCTTTATTTAAACAATTTCCAAGAAACCACTGGGAATCAGAACTTTTGCTCTCTCCAACGATGGTAAAGCTGACTATTTTCCCAGGAAAAAAGACAGGCTAACATTGCCAATTTATTTCTAGATTGATTATGATCATGATCACAATAGCTTGCCCATGAGGCTTCCAAATTAACATCAGAATTCAGAAATCATCAAGTCAATAGTAAAAGCAGAGGAAGGTTTCAAAAGCTGGCAATAAATTAAATTCCAACAGAACAGAAACAAAGACATGGGTATTGAAGATTAAAGGCCAAAGAGTTAAAAAAAAAAATCACAAAATTTTGATAAAAACAAGAAAAGAAGAATTTAAAATTTTGGGAGTTACCTGAAAGAAGTGTAGCTATAGAATTCAACATCCAAACACATGAACAGAAGTGAAGCAGAGGAGAAAATAGTTTGTCCCAAACGAAGAGCCAAGCTGGCGCTTGTTCCCAACGCCCCTGGCACTCTCTCCATCATCCTTCATGCAAACTTATCTCTCTGTT